AACCACTGAGCTAGTATCTTGAGGCCAGTGCTCTGTACTGAGTTTCATGTCCCAGTCCTACTCGGGACTTTCAATGTTCAGTTTAGGGAAAGCAGTATCTTTACCACAATGAATCTCACTGCCCAGACTTGATATTTTACTCTGTTTTTCTAATCTTTTATGTATTTCATAAAATCATTTAGAAATCTTGTATTATCTTGGTTAGGATTGAGAAATCTTGTATTACTTTTATTCCTTGGTATTTTCACATTTTTGGATTTTTGAAAAGTATTTTCTTAGGTTTTACATTCTCTTTATCAAGAGTGTTTTTTATTTTGTGTGTGTGTGTGTGTGTGTGTGTGTGTGTGTGTGTGTGTGTGTTATTCCCAGTCATCTTTCTAAACTTTCAAAAGATGATTAATGATTTTTAGTTAACTTATGTTTATTTCTGAATAGGTTACTGCATCCACATATGAAGTTTTAGGGATTTTTGTTGTTGTTGTTGTTTTTCAAGACAGGGTTTCTCTGTATAGTTTTGGTTCTGTCCTGGATCTCACTCTATAGACCAGGCTGGCCTCGAGATCACAGAGATCCTCCTGGCTCTGCCTCCGGAGTGCTGGGATTAAAGGCGTTTTTAGGGATGTTTTTAAATTTTCTTAAACATTAAGTTATTTTGTATACGTGTGTGGGGACACATGTGCAGTGACATGTATGTGACAGTCAGAGAACAACCTGAGGGACCCAGCACTTTGCTCCCACCATGTGGGTTCTGGGGACTGAACTCGGGTCATCAGGCCTGGCAGCAAGCCTTTTTACCTACTGAGCCATCTTGCTGGTTCTCAGGGGCGTTAAAATCCGAATCTTAATCTCTCACAGAAGTAGTGAATGGCCCTAGCCAGTATGGATCGCCAGATTCAGGCACCTGTTCTCCAGGATCAGCACTTGACCGCAAGCAGACCTACCTTCCTGTCTATAATGGTGACATTCATTTGATGTGATTACACTTTATCCTCGGTAACACAAGAGACGATGGGACGATGGGGAGAAAATGAGACCGGTGAGGACGGCAGAGAGTCACCAAACGAGTATACATGTGCTGTACCTCACCACCGCCACCACCACACCACCATCACCAAGACAGGCAGACGCTGACCCAGTCTGATGCACTACTAACTAGAGTCGTGTGCGATCATCTCAGAAGCGCTGATATGTGAGGAAAATTCCATCCTAAGGCAATAAAATAGGATGCTTACATCAAGGAAAGGTCTACGGAGGAACCAGGCGCTTGGCTGGAGGATGACAAGAGGGGACGAAGGCCTCCCTTTCGGAGGTGGGGAGGCGAGGCAGGTGGAGGGGAGAGCATTCGCAAAGGCCCAGAGGAAGGCCTGACCACACAGAGGCGGGTGCAGCTAAGGCCCAGCATCAGCAGGTGAGCCACTGGGAGAGGAAGGGCGCAGCTCTGGGAGGGCCCACAGCTCACGGCAAGCTTGGGATTTTAGCCTCTGCACCAGTTACCTGTGCCCAGGCCACCACAGCACACACCGCAGAATGTGTGGTTTAAACAACATAAACTTATTTTCTCAAAATTCTGGAGCAGTCTGCAACCGAGGTGTTGTCTGAATTGTCCGCCTGGGCATGTCTCTCTGGCTTCGGCTAACTGGCCCTCTGTGCCTCACAAGGTCTTCTCCCCCTGTGTCGACGTCCTAATCTCTTCTTATGATGACACTGTTGCTTGGATTAGGGCCATCCTGGTGACCTCATTCTAACTTAATCACCTTCTTAAATACCGTCACCAGATACAGTCCTGCTCAGAGGTACTGGGGTCAGGACTTCAGACATGAATTTTAGTGAACATAGTGTAACTCACAGTCTGGAAAGTGAAGGGCCCTGGAGGTTCTGAACACAGAATGGTGATTGGAACGATGTTTTAAAGATTATACTGCCTTAGTGAAGGGACAGGATGGAAAGCAGGTGGTCTCTGGATCAATGATATTAAAATACTGGGTCTTCCTCATGGCTGTATTAATGCTATCCAGTAAAGGGGGCTGACTAGGCCAAAACTTGTCTCACTTCAGACCTGGACTTGAGTTTTCAGCTTCCCTGGGGCTCCTCTGTCCCATGTGACTGATGGAGGGTCCTAGTGTCACAGGGACAGATGGCAGGAAAGGTGATATCAAAAAGGTGAAGGCTCCTAGCCCCGCTCGGTCTTTAGGGGAAGGAGAGGCCAAGACCCAGCCTGATGACTTCTTGAGAGAAAGAGGAAGTGGCATCTAGAATTCCATCCTTAGTGGGCTTGCCATGGTACAACATAGGAAAGTATCCACTCCCCACAGGGGACAATACTCCCCAGCTTCACCAGCAAAGGGGCCATACGGGTTCCGGGAATCTGAGAAAACAGCCACTGGCCGGCCCCAAGTTTCTCTAACGGTCACTTCATTCTCAATGCAGGGTGATCTTGACTGGTTTTCCCATCATTTGCCCTCTACTGACCAAATCACAATGGTTTATTTTTTTTTCACAGGCAGCCCGGACCATCGGAAGACATCGGGGACCGTGGTTAAGACAGAGTCTATGAAACTGGCCAGGCTAGTCCTGTTCAATCCATGGACCGTCGGGCTGGAGACTACTGGCGCCTCCCAAGTTCTCAGTGCCTCTCCTTGGCCACGGGGTCAAATTGCTGCCTTACTCTTGACAGCAACACAACCAGAGAGGAACTGTCCCCTCTCCTCTCCAGGCAGTTAGAACCCACACATCTGCATTCCGTGATGGGGGTGGCACTCAGAGAGGGGGTCAGAAAGAGGCCCATCACATGGCCCATGAACAAGAGACAGCATATCCTAAATAAGAGGTCACGCAGGAAGGGTGGGACAAAGTCCCAGCTCCCTCCCACTCTGCTAAGTCGTTTACCTAGCACTGGGGGTGGGGTGCGGGACCCATGCAGTAAGGCCCCGCTTCCTGTTTGTGGCAGTGAGGAAGCTTCAACTAGTGTCTTCATGTTTGAGTGGTCTCAGCCTTCATGTAAGTCTCCCGTTGACCCTCAGGACAGTGCTCTCCTCAGCCAGGGAACCGTGGGCCATATGAAACCACTAAGAGTGAGGTTCTGAGAAGGTCTGAAAGTAGCTGAGGCAGCGGGTCTGATCAAGAGCACCTCTAGCCAGCCCATGGTGCCCTCACAAGTGCCCCACCAGCTTTACTTAAGGCCTGGGCCTTTGCAAGCTTTCTTTCCCAGCAAGAAAGGAGGCAGGGGGCCCACAGCCCAGCAAACAGGCCAAAAGAAGCTATGCAGACTGAACTGTGCCCCTCAAAGGACATGTAACCCCGAGTGCTTCTAAATCAGATGTTCTCTGGAAGTGGGGTTGCTGTACTTGCCATTGGCTAAGAAGAGGTTATACTGGAGCAGTGTCCCCGTAATCCAACTGAGGTCTTCAGAAACAAAGACACAGGGAGCAATCAGCCAAGTGACACCAGAGGCAAGTCACGCATGCATGCACGCATGCACGCACGCACCCATGCACGCACACACATGAGAGTGCATGCTAGATGCAGCCACTCTGATGCACAGTCACATTATGAACCCTCAAGAGTTCTTTTCAGCTATCTTTCCTGAACCCTAGAATCTGCTGTTTGAGTCTGAAGTGTCTGTGGCATTGGCAGCAAAGTTGTATTTCTTCTAGTCTGCTCTGTATTCAGGCTTGACCTAAACTCCAGCCAGACTTGGGAACCAGAGACCAGCTTCCCTTCTTCCAAGTCCTTCTATCTCAAGGGTCGAGGGAACCTAGGCTGCTGGGGTCCCAGAGTGCACATGGGTACCTGGCACACATTGTAGTGTTCAAAGAGCGATAAGAAACCGATGTCGCTGCGTGCCTCGATGCCTCGGAGGAGCGTGATGTTCCCATCGCCTGAGTCCAGCTCCACTATATCATTGAAAACATTGGACACAGCTCTCCCGGTCAGGAGAAGATTGACAAGTTCCTGTTGATGAGAGAAGGGAAGCTGCGTCAGATCTCTGAAATCAGCCTCGGGAGGGCGGAGGGGAGGCGGGAGCAGGGGAAAAGGGGTGGAGGAGGAAAGAACCCAGGGAAGGCAAGAAACAGAACGCAGAGTGGAGACAGTAGGGGCCTGATTTTTCCACAGGCTCTGATGGGGGAAATCTGCCAACAGCTTCCATCAAAGCACCCCAAGGGAATCAGCAACCGATCTGCAAGTATTCTTTGAACAATGGCAACACAGGAGCCTGTCCTAAATCTCAGTACTGGGGAGACCTTTGAGTAGTTACAACCCAGCTCCACGCTCTGGAACAGCTACAGAGGTCAAGGATGCATCTGTGTGGTTGAAACCTAATGTAGGATATGAGTGGGACTATAAAAATGTGTGCACAGAATTTCTCTGCCCCACAGAGACACGCGATCACATAACCGAGCCAGAGCAGCTTTGTTGGAGAGTGACCTCTGGGAGAGTCTTGAAAGACAGTGTTTTGAAAAATAAGCATCTTAATGATTGAAATGACTTTAGATTCAACAGAAGTTGCAAAAATAGTCCACAGAGTTCCTGTGTACCCTTTACCCAGCTTCCCTGTTGATAACATCTCATGGGACCCAGCACATCTCATAGCCAGGAAGCCAGCCAACCCTGAGCACTGTAGCACCAAGGAGGTGCCCCTTGTCTTACGGGGTCTCACAGGGATGGTAAGGAAAGCAGGATGGGGCGAGAGCAGAGGCAGGGAGGGTAGCAAGAAGTTGGTGCTGGGCTTGCCCCAGACACTAGGTATCCAGTAGCCCTGTGGCTCATGCCACACACCCAAGCAGTCACCAAATGAGTAACCTCGGCCTGGAGCCAGTGTCGAGTGCAGTGTGGCATCTCTGGGGGGGTCTCCATCTCTGGTACGGCAGTGTATCACCGAGGCTGGACACCTCCACATCCCACCACTGGTTAGGAATAAAGCAACTAGACCTGACAGATGAGACAGGACTTGTCCTAGCCACATGGCCAGAAAGTGACTGAGCTGAACTTTCACTCACATCTGCTGAGTACATCTCTGCCACCCTTGCTACCCTGACAGCAACCTGTCTAGACAAACACTCCAGCTGAAAGGTGGTAGCTTCCAAGGACTCTTTGGAGAGGAACTCTGATGAATCCACCCCTAGCATTCAGACAAGCAGTCGCTCTGTGTCACCCTCCCTCAGCAGGGCTGGCATCGCCAGTGAGACAAGCAAGCACACAGCTGTCTCCTAGCCCATAGGAATGGCCATGCCACCCTGACCCAATCTATGATCTGCAGGGCAGAGTTGACAGAAGTATTTTCCCTTGAATTCTGAAATTGATGTTCCGGGTAGGGTACATAAACCTTCCATTGATACTAACACCCCTGCCCCAGTGACAGTTAGGATTCTATTGATGGCCACCAAGGGGCCCCCATTGGAAGGCAACAGTGAAGGGCCTCATTGTGTCCCTGCAGCGGAAATGATAAAAGAATTCAGAGGAAATAACTGCTCTAGGATACTGTACCTCATGTCCAGAGGCTACCAAGAAAGGTGCAGGATTTTCTTTTTTTTTTTTTAATTTTGTTTTTAAGCGGAAAGTTTTTCCATCTGGTTTGCAATAAGAATAAAGGCCCCTGCTCTTCCATCTGGGAAGTGTTCAAAACATTCCTCCCAGCAGGAAGTGTTCTTGAGAGAGCAGGAGGACCTCCTGCCCATGTACCTCCTGCCCTTGGTGTGGAAAACCCAAAGTAGCAAAGCTTAGCCACCATCCAGTCCATTGCTACTCCAAGTGTGTGCCACAGACTTTCCTCCTGGGGGAGCTTTTAGAAACTTGGCACCCATGGAGATTACAACACTCTGTAATCTCAGCCCTAAAGAGACTGAGACAGGAGGATCTGGAATTCAAGACCAGCCAGGGCTATAGAGCAAGACATAATCCCAAAACAACGAAAAGAAAATAATGAAGAAATTCCCTAGCCCCAGCCCAGCATGAGTCAGAACCTGCTTTTCAACATGACCCACAGGGACTGGTGTGCAAATCAAAGCTAAGCAGCCATGGACTGGGGCAAATGCCTCTTCCCCATGGGAGGAAAGTGGAGTTCTGGAAGCTGGGAAGATGCCTCAGCTCCCTCCGTGAGTGTAGCAGAGAACAGGCTTGAATCCAGCCCGGGATGATGCTGGTCCAGCCTCCTCTGCTTCCTAGTTTGATTTCCCCTGCCTGGGCAGCTCCATTCTCCACCACCACAAGAGGAGACTCCCTTGGAGCAAAGAGGAAAAGCATCCAAGAGAGCAAGGCCACCAGGCAGCCAAAAGAGAGGACATTCTCCATGGCCTCTTTCCAGGGAGGGGTAGAAGCCATCCCCACACCCCTCTGTGTGTGTCTATTATACCACAGACCTCAAACTTGCCCTTGCAAAAAGGACCAAGGTAGCTTCCCAGGGTTAGGCACAGGTGAGTCAAAAATCCCAGAACAGCTAGTTAGTTCCTAGCTCAACAGAAGACTGTGAGTTCTGGAACCTGCATACAGAGAGGGTAACACATCAGTATGATCCACATGGCCATTCTCAGAGGCCTTGTGTGCTAAGGAAGGTGTGTATGGAAGCTCCATGCACACTAGAGAGGACCTTGAACGGGTGTCCTTAGTGGCATTACCTAACAGGGAGTACAAATGACAAGAGAGGTCGGGGTCTCTCCTGTCCCTAACAGGGCTTTGTTCGAAAAGACGCAGAGGGAAGAGCGGTTGTGAAGGCAGTGCCCTCTGCAAGTGTAACCAGTGCATGGGGGACCCAGGGTTACCAGCCATGCTGGGGCATGTTCTGACAGCCTGGGCTCTGTGCAGTTCAGCACCTAAGTGGATCGGTGGTCCACCTCCTCTACATCCCCATGACTCCAAGAATACCAGCCAGCAGGTAGAAAGCACACTACACGTGAAAAACAAACTGAGCTTTCCTCCCGGGTCTCCCAGACTGTGAAGCCCAGAAGAGGCAGACTTCGGAGAGCATCATGGAGGGTGTTTGGTGATGAAGAACAGAGAAAGAAACTCAAGGAGAGGACGGGCTACCTGGCTTCCCCTCTGTGGGCCCCATTGTCTCCTGACCTGTGTGCAGTATCCGTGAGCTCCAATCAGATGGCTGGTTGGGACATCGAAGTCCTGGCGGACACTAGGAAGCACAAAGGGAGAGGCGTTAGCATGGCTGTGCCTTACTGGGGCGCCAGGTGCTCTCTCAAGGCCTCGGCTATAGATCCAGGTTTGCTACGAACCTAAGGAACCTAAGCATCCTGCACTGTGACCTTGTGGAGGTGCTACCACAAACGGCCTCCATTTTGGCCGCACCTAAATGTGGTGAGCAAAATGTAACAGGCCCTTGGGCTGGGAATCCAATGCCCAAAATTCATACCACAATTACCACTCCTAATGGTGAGGATGGAGTGTCTGCCATGTGCCTTAGGACCACTCCTGATGGTGAGGATGGAGTGTCTGCCACGGGCCTCAGGCAGCCAGTCTGTTCAACAGGAGGCATTAGCTGGAATGAACTCTAATGACCTAGTGACTCTGCTGTGGTTCCAATATGGTTTGAGTATGTCTCTCCAGGGATCAGGTGCTAAAATATAATTCCCACTGTGAGGTAGCAAGGGGGTAAAAAGTTGTGTGCACACATGTGTGCTTCTGGAGACCACAGGCTGACATCAGATAGCCTCCTCTATAACTCTCTACCTTATTGTTTCTAGATTTAGTGTGTGTGTGTGTGTGTGTGTGTGTGTGTGTGCAGGTGTGTATACACACACACACACACACACACACACACATACATGTACATGCATGCAATGCCAAAGCAAATCAGAGACTACTTTCAACCAACAAGAGTTCGTTTTTTCCTTCTTCCCTGGGGGCTCCGGGGACTGAACTCAGGTCACTCGGCATGGTGGCAAGCATGCTTTTCCACTGAGCCATCTTGACAGCGTATCTTTTTAAACATTTCCTTTGAGAATTTCACATGCTTAGACAATGAAATATGACATCTAGCCCCCCTCTAGCCACACCCCCTGATCCCCCAATCACACCCTCACCAACCTCATGCCTTTTTTGTTATTATGTGGCCTAGGACCGTTCGGCCAGCATACATGCTTCCCTATGGGAACGCCACAGCGTGGCCACTGACTACAAGAGCAAAGAAGGACTTCCTACATCTGTTTTCACAGATGTGGAAAGACGCTCAGGCAGGTGGGCACTGGGGACAGGTGGAGTGAGAGCCTGATTTCTAGGCCTCCAGAGCTACACACAGACCTGGATACATACTGCCCAGGGCCTGGTGAGCTTCCTGCATTCATACCCCCAGAAAGAGCACTGAGCTGGGGCCGAGGGTAGGAAGGGCTCTGTGATTAAACAATTGTTTTTCCTTTTAATGGAAGAGGAGAACCTGGTCTCAATAGACGCTTTAAATCCAAGATCCCCACACACTCAAAAACTCAAAACACACACTCCAATCCTCTGCTCTTCCAAGATAACCTCGGAAACTCAAACTCCACCATCCTTGCCAGGAAACTGTGTGTGTGTGTGTGTGTGTGTGTGTGTGTGTGTGTGTAGTTTCTAACGGAGGGTCAAATGGGGAAGGAGTGCTCAGGAGATGGGCCTCGGGTAGCATCACAGAGACACGTAAAGAACCGCAAAGACCCAGGGTACTCTGGGAAGGCCACCAGAAGCCGACCATCGTGCCTGGGAGAGAGCCAGCGAGGGGTGACTCATGGCCAGCACAGTGCTGGGCCGGCGCTAGCTGAGGCAGAAGAATTGATGGAAACGTTCTCTGTGGCATATACAACATCTTCTGATGAGGAGAAAATAACCTCAAAGCAGCCCTGGGGGGACTGATAAGCATCGCTGGCCGTGGGCCACCTGTGGCTTTCAGAAGCAGTCCGATCTTCATAAGCTCTGGGCCGCGTGTTCACCCAGCGGGCTAGAAAGCCTGCGTCAGCTGGGAGAAGAGGGACCAGCAGAACGGACAATGGCAGGAAATGGTAATTGCATCCTTAGGTGCAAACACGATGGGAAATTCAGAAGCTGCTCGGATCTTAAAAGGGAGGGACATGTGTATTTCACATTAGGGCACTCGGGAGACGCCAAGGAGCAGCTTATGGCTTAGGAGATTTACAACTTTGGCAAATAGCAATGCCCAGTCCTCCTCCCCTGGGGAGCTCTGACAGAGCGCACGTGTGAGGAGTCCTGGGGCAGAGGCCATCCTCCTCTGCTTGGGCTGAACAGGAGATCAGGTGACACAGAAGCCTGACCCAGCCCTAAGTTCTAGCTCCAGCCTACTCACTGTGGAATTGCTAGTCTTTCTTCCCTGGGCCTCAGCCTCCGGTTCTGGAGCAAATCGGTCTTGGTCTGAATTCTGTCTCTCCAAATCCACACATTGAACCCACCTGAAGACAAGCCTGCCTAAACAACCCCAGTTACTCAGGGGGCCGGGGCAGAGGGACTGAAGGTCCAATTAGCCTGGCGTGGGGATGCACACCTTTCCCCCCAGCACTTGTAGAGGCGGGCAGATCTCTGAATTCGAGGCCAGAGTGGTCTGCAAAACTAGTTACAGGACAGCCAGGCATACACTGAGAAACCCTGTCTTGAAAAACAAATGGAGGAGGAGGAGGAGGAAGAGGAGGAGGAGGAAGAGGAGGAGGAGGAGG